TACAAGGATTACAAAGATTACAAGATTACAAGGATTAGAAAATTAGAAGGATTAGAAGAATGACAAGATTACAAGGATTACAAGATTACAAGGCTAAGGATAATAAAGGATAGAATAGGTTTCAGCGAGACATGGACCCGTTACCATCATTGTATCCAAGGCAGACCGCAGACCAATTAACAATCTTGAGCCGAATGATCAATGACATGGAGCCACGTTGATATTTTTTGTTTACAAATGGTAACAAACCATAATTAAAACCCTTGATTAAAACCATGGAAATTTATTTTATGCGTTGATTATTTGACGACAAGCTGTGTTCAGTATGAGGCTAGACATATTCATTATTTTATCGATATTTTGTTGTGTTTTGGGGGAGGATTTTTATGACATTTTGGGCATCGCCAGAGATGCTGATAATAAAGAGATTAGACGAGCTTTCAAAAAGCTTGCATTAAAACTACATCCGGATAAAAATAAGGTCAGTAATTAGCGGAATACTTGCTTTGTTTATACCTGACAATAGTGAAATCAGGATTATTGCATCTATATTTGTAAAACATGACCTCTGTTTGAACAGTCTGCCTAAGGCAAGGGGTTGAATATACTAGCTATACAGCCTATACTACATATGTACATTCTAGTAGGGGATGTATTCTGTAGTAGTTTGTTGCAAATTTAGGCGTCTAGTTTGATTTGTAAAGTATTCTATAATAGAAATGCAACCTGTTGTCAAAAATAAAATATTTTCAAAAATAAAATATTTTTGATTTTTAGCTCAGGGTTGCATGAGGCCGAAACAAGGCCGTCGTTGCATGGGGCCCAAACAAGCCCCCCCCCCCCATAGGTCGCATGAGACTGAAACAACCCCTCCCCCAATAACTTCCCATTTATAAGCAAAACACACAAAAGAACTAGAAAAGTGCGAAAGCAATTCAGATTTGTTCTTGAGCCCCCCTCCCCCAATATTGATTTACTTCTGACAGCCTTGCAAAAACTTGGTGAAATTCATGTGCATACAGCGAGCTAAGTGCTGCGTAAATGGGCACAAATAACATTTTGCTCGCGGGATAGCTCTTGGATGTTGCACTGCTGCAGGTGTTAAAAATTTTGGCAATTTCTCGTTATATGTGCAATCAAAATCTATTGTTTATAAATTAATATACCAGGTTAGTGTAGGGTTGTGCATTTAGTATATTGAGAAAACGCCGAAGACCTGTATTAGGAGGTTTATAGTGTTAATGTTACTAACCAGATGCTGGTCTCAAAGCACTTTTAATCTTTTTAGATTGTTCAGAAACAAACCATGACAGCTTACTGAGTTGTATTTTGTTTTACTTCTTCAGGACGATGCAAATGCACATGAGAAGTTTATGAAAATTAACCGAGCCTATGAGGTTTTGAAAGGTTAGTTGGGGCTCATTGAGAATAGATTTTCCCAATTCTTCCCACCCTTCATGGAGCAAGTACAATGTCCTCAGGCAATGTCTATTGGTTCACATTCCTTGCTGTCCATCTGTTAACAGATGTATTTCACCACATGTTCATAGGTTTGTTATTGCCTTGACCCCTACTCCAATTTGCACACCAGTCCCTGTTTTCATCCTAGTTGTGTTGTTATTAGCCCCCTCTCTCTCATCATGGAAATTGTACAGCATACTTGTCATGAAAAGCCTATGGGCAGCACTCTCCCCTTGACAAGTAAAATCATCTGGCATTAGACAGAGTAAACTTAAGTAGGGAGCATGCATGAGGCATTAGGAGAGCGCATTGCCACTCAAAGTGTTAACAGGATGCATGGGCAGCACTCATTTCCCTTTGATGAGTGAAATTGCCCAGACAGAGTAAATGTTCATTAAAGTAGGGCACATCCTGGGAAAATTATCGCTCAAAGGGTTAATGATTACATTTGCAATGAAAAGTACATTCATCTTGCAAGCACCACACAGATTACTTTATATTCAAATTGCAGATGAAGAACTGAGGAAGAAATATGATTTATATGGGGAAGATGGCTTGAAAGATGATCATTTTGGTGGCGGACAAAACTATCAAAGCTGGCATTACTTTAATGAAGAATTTGGTAAGTTTTAACATTTATAAATAGTGCTAATGTGATGGTTCAGAATGCATTAAAACACATTTTGATTTTGTCTAGGAATTTATGATGAAGATCCAGAAATTATTACCTTGGGATATTCTGACTTTGGTGAGTGCTCAGCAGCAATGTGTAACATTAACAAGCTGTCAATATTTACCATTCAGCCAGCTGCATATTTTAACTCATATAAATGATATTTTGTTTTATAATTTCCAGAGTCCTCTGTTATTAATTCTCATGAAGATATTTGGTTTATCAATTACTACTCACCATACTGCTCACATTGTCATGATTTGGCTCCAACGGTAATTACTGAATATTAAGCAAAAGTGCTCACCCCTGGAATATCAGCTCTCTCTCTTATTACTTCTCCCATTTTTGGGGGAAAATTTATTAAGCCCTACCTCTCTATTATGACCATCCCCCTCTCTATTATTAGCCCCTCCTTCTATTATTACCCCCTCTCTCTATTATTACCCCTCCCTCTCTATTATTGCCCCTCCATCTATTATTACCCCTCCCTCTCTATTATTACCCTCCCCCTCTCTATTATTTCCCCCTCCCTCAATATTATTACCCCTTCCCCTCTATTATTTTTCTCTCCCTCTATTATTACCCCTCCCTCTCTATTATTACCCCTCCCTCTCTATTATTACCCCCTCCCTCTCTATTATTACTCCCTCAATCTCTATTCTTACCCCCTCCCTTTCTATTATTACTCCCTCTATTATTACCCCTCCCTCTATTATTACCCCTCCCTCTATTATTACCCCTCCCTCTATTATTACCCCTCCCTCTCTTTTATTACCCCTCCCTCCCTATTATTACCCCCTCTCTATTAGTACCCTCTCTATTATTACCCCTCCCTCTCTTTTATTACCCCTCGCTCTCTATTATTACCCCCTATCTTTCTATTATTATTCTCTCTATTATTACCCCCCCCCTTCTTATTACCCCTCGCTCTCTATTATTACCCCCTATCTTTCTATTAGTACCCTTTCTATTATTACCCCTCCCACTCTTTTATTACCCCTCACTCTCTTTTATTACCCCCTATCTTTCTATTAGTACCCTCTCTATTATTACCCTTCCCTCTCTTTAATTACCCCTTCCTCTCTATCATTACCCCCTATCTTTCTATTATTACCCTCTCTATTATTACCCCTCCCTCTCTTTTATTACCCCTCCCTCTCTATTATTACCCCCTATCTTTCTATTAGTACCCTCTCTATTATTACCCCTCCCACTCTTTTATTACCCCTCACTCTCTTTTATTACCCCCTATCTTTCTATTATTACCCTCTATTATTACCCCACCCTCTCTTTTATTACCCCACCCTCTCTATTATTACCCCTCTATTTCTATTAGTACCCTCTCTATTATTACCCCTCCCTCTCTTTAATTACCCCTTCCTCTCTATCATTACCCCCTATCTTTCTATTATTACCCTCTCTATTATTACCCCTCCCTCTCTTTTATTACCCCTCCCTCTCTATTATTACCCCCTATCTTTCTATTAGTACCCTCTCTTTTTTTTC